TAGTACTGCTTTTATTTTATTTATATCCTTTCTTTTGTCTGTTGTGTACTTACTTCTCTCTTGTAGGTAAAAGTAAAGACATACACCTAAACAATTTTAAAAATTATTTTCTTACTGCTGTCACCACTCAGAGCACCTTTCTCTGGACTTTCTGTATTTTCCACTTCTATGCTTTTATCATCAAATTGGTTCCCAAAGTATGACAGTAGCCTTGCCTTTTTTTTTTTTTTTAATCACACTTACTTTACGATCAGTTATAACACTTCTGAGAGTAGTTTGGTTTTGATTCCTAATACTAGTCACAAATACCTTTGTACCAGATCAGGGTCTCTGTTCATGGAAGTCTATGCCAGCATCTAATTGCAAATTACAGCAAAAGATTAGTTAAACCAAGATGTATTTTCTACCCATCCATTTAGTATATCTGCTGACCAATACTCCCCATTTCAAATGGTTACTCCATGTTTTAGACCTATCTTATCTCTAGGGACAGGAAGAGGAAAAAAGCATTCCTTTCATTGGGCAAAAATTAAATGGTCTTAGACATCTTCAAAAGGTACTAATATTTAAATACAGATGCTACCAATAGCACTTAACGATAGGATTAGACTACTCCAGACACTTTCATCTTTCTTATTTTGGCCACCATTCACTTCTGCACCTTAGAACACTCTCTGTGATTGCACCTGTCCCTGGCCAAACAATCACAAAACGAGGAGGGCTTTTATCAGCCACACCTTCTTTGTTCTTTCACTCATAGCAAAAAAGGGATAAACAGCACAAACTTGAATCAGCTTTAATTTGACCACAGGAGACACTTTTTTCCAAGCCTAGACTATGTTCTTCTACCATCTGAGACCCTAAAGCAACAGCTGGCTGAGGAAACAGTCAGGCCACAAAGCATCTACAGAAATCTTCATCTCCAGGGTTAATTTCAGCTTAAGTTCTCTCAATCATGAAGTAGTACTGAAACAGTCAAAGGCAAAGGTTGCTTATCATGTGACAGTTTAAGAACAGATTTCTTTCAATTTAGGTATAAAATAGCAGGTTCAAATATTCTACACTCAAGCAACAGCAGTTGTCAGGCCCCACACATGCACTAGATTGGATCATGGCAAAGAAGGAAATAAATCCACATTCTCCAGATCATAAATCAGTCAGACTGGCTGTCAGGATGCCCATAGGACTGGGTTATTCTCCAGCTGCCCCTTGACAAGATTCCCCATGTGCATTCAGCACTGTGAGAACCAAGATACTGGTATGATTCAGTTGGATCTTCTTGTATTATGTTTCAAACTGTTGAATATGGATATCTCATCATGTTAAAACATACACAGTTCCAGTATTCTGTTCCTTATTGACAGATCAATACCTATCCCAGGAAATACTTTATTTCTGAAATAATTTTTAAAAACTTAAATCCATTTTAGAACAATTTGCCTGAGCACACATTTGAGGCAGACCAACTCACATTATTTCATGCTTATTTTTGGATCTATATTATAAAAACACCATCCTAACTACCAGGTTTTTGCTTTAAAACAAGGGGAAAACCCTATAAAAAGATCCGATCTGGGGTACAAGATAACACAGACAATTTCCAACATAAACGCTAGTTATTAGGTGTCATGTAGAGTCAGGAGTTGCCATGGAATCCATTTGCTTCTAAACCAGCTCCTCCTGCTGGAATACTTTCTCATTATTATTTCTTTCAGTAGCACAAAAGGAGCTGGCTTATAGCAGAAATGTTATTTCAGTGTAAAGTTTCTACTGTGTCTACAATAAGACATGAAATTAAAATCTAAATTTAAAGCTATATTTCTGTTTCAAGTGTAAAGCTACGTTGCTGTGGTCAGAAGAACTAAGTCATTGTTGACTTTTTATAGATTCAGTAAAGCAGAAAAAACAAATTGCAGCTAAAGCTTTTCTTTCAGCTGTCTTCCCGTAAGTGAAAATAAGTGTCATATCTGAAGTCTACTGTTTACATTTTTGCTACATTATTTTTCCATTATGCTTAACTTTTAACATTTTCATACTGGTTATTCTATGCAACAGCAGCCTCGTTACCAGCCTAATTACTGATGTCCTGGGATACAGAACAGTGTGTGCATGCTGGACATGGGGTTTATTAGGCCAATGAACTCACTTGTTGTGATGTCTGTTTCAATAGACAGATTTCAAAAGAAAAAATGTGATCATGCCTTCAAACTCTTGACACACCAATTATTGGGTTTCAGTTCTTTTGTATACAATATACTGCAGTGAGGCTGGAGGACAATACTGGAAAGCAACCAGCAATATTGGAAAACTATGCCAGTGATTTGTAGCTTGGCATGTTAATACTTATTATTAATATTATTGTTTACTATAGACATTGACTAGCATTGCATCTGGAAGTCCTAAACAGAAATAAGATCCTATTGTGATCGGCACTGTATGGAGATACACACAGCCCTTGCCTTCAAGAGCTTATATTGTATGGTCCCAGCCTTGTAAACTGATCTGGGCAGAATCATTCTTGCACCCCTGTGGAGCCCCCCAGCCCTCCAAGGCTGTCAGAGATTCCTGCATAATCTTCCTATATGTAAAATGGCAGGCAAGCTTTGGGTGCAGGGAGCTTTTACCTTCTAATCTGTTCCACTCTCACCCTTTAGCAATTGAACTATACCTGAACTTAGGTCAGCCTAAACATCTCATGGAACTTTGGGCCCTTGTTCACATCTCTCCAACTCAAAGGATGTGCCCCTTCTAGGGAATCAAAGGAAGCTCTGTACCATGCAACAGCCTTCCTTCTCCAACCCCGTGTTTTCTAAGGTCCCATAACTTCAGACAAGTTTGTGGAGAGGTCTGTGGCATCTCTCAGGAAGGTCCCCAGCATGAAACAGTTTCTGAGACAGGCACTACCCTTGGAAAACCAAAAGAACATAGACAAGCCCACTAGAGACAGAGAATCCTTTACCCTAGAGGGAAAACATTGCAGCCCGCTAACAAATAGAAGCAGTCCAATATCAGTGAACAACAAGGACTGGGCTGTGGGGCTGCAATAAGGAACCACAAGCCAAGTGTGATAGCCAGGATGTTCCTCACAAGCCAGGGCCCACCTTGCATTACCTGGATGAGAATAGTGCTGGCACAGGGTTGGCAGCCAGGCTGAGGCCAGAACCAAAGTCATCAGGCAAGACCACGGTAACAAGGCAGGTCTAAGATCAAGGTGGGAAGTCAGTCTATGGGTCAGGGTTTAGAGCAGCACAGTGCCTAGTGAGGTACAGGCATGGCTGCAGGGGCACTGGGCACAGAAACCCCTATGGCCTGGCTCAGGCAAGTACTGAGGGCAGAGCAGGGAGCTGCCAGGTGAGGCTGGTCAGGGCTCTTAAGACTCATTGGTGCACTCAGAGACCTGACACCCAGAGTCTTCTCCTCAGTCTCCACTATGTTCTGACAAGTGGTTGGGTTGTGCCGTGTACCAGGAATATTTTTTGCTGAAGCCAAAATTAAAACCTGACTCTGGTATATCCCAAGGCTTTGGCACATTTCAAGAATGTGTCATTAACATCACTAAGCTATTGCCAGACCAAAGAAATGCTAATTCCTTTCTCATCTACCAGCTAAGTCTTATAGTAATTACACAGAGCAAGCAAGCCCTGAAACTTCCTCCAGCTGCAAGTAGTGGACACTCCTCAGGAGAGGCGCTGTGGGGAATCTGTCCTTTGAATAGGCTCTAGCTTCAGCTGGGTACATCCTGCCATCACATATAAATGGAGTCCCACTATCAGTGAATAATAGTCAGAAATCAGGGCTTAGACAAAACACTCTAACAGTGAGGCAAAACCTAAATAAAAAAATATTAATCACAGGCATATGCCAAACCTTGGGAAACACCCTTATCCCTCAGCAACAGATTTAGTGTAGTCTGCAATAGTCTGTAAGGTGGACTCATGCTTATGAGTCTGGTGCTGTTTTGCTATGCCCCCACCCAATACAAGCAATTGATCACACAGTGTTTTACTCAAAGACATCATCTCCTCCACATTATTTCTGAAGACTTGTATTCACTACATAGAGAATGCAGAGGAGAGTAGTGACAGGCTTGCAGAACGACCAAATAATACAGAAAAGAGAGGTTGTTCCCAGCTTAGCATGCAATGCTCATAAAAACAATTAAACTTGCAACCACAAACGGGTATGAGACTAAAACAAGAAAAGATCCTGTTAAAATCCAAGCAGGGAACGCTCCCCACCTTGCCTTTCAACAAAGCTATAAGCACCATGATGATTAGGATATACACCAAGTGGAACGGACACCAGCTCCAGAGCTGTCAGACAGCCTCTGCATCCCTCCTCTTTTGGTCTGATCAAGTCTATTCTCTGAGGCAATAGGAGGCTGAAGACAAGAGTTTCAGAGCAACAGAGGGGGGTGGTTCCTCTTGCTATTGATTTCATCTGAAACGGGCATGTGTTATTTCAAAGCAGTGTGTCCTCAAGGCGGGTTAAGCTGCTCTCCTCCACTGAAACAAAGCAGTGATACAAGTCTATTTGTGACCTGTTAATTATCAGGTTGATAGTAAGAACAGACTGTGGAATGGATCCCACTATTTTAAGCATTATTCTTTGGGGTGCTGAAATTTAAACAGGCTTCTGCTGACAGATTTCCCCCCGACTAATGAAATAACTTCTTTGCTAATCAAAGCCAGGCCTTGGGAAAGGAGGTTTCAGTGATAGCCAGGGTGCAGAGGAAGCCTGACACAGCTCCAGTTCCACCAGCATACATGAACAAGTGCAGGTCTCACGCTGTACCAGAGGTCTGGGGCACCCCGACCTCCCGAGGAGGGTTCCCCCTGCCATGAGGCAGCTCCCCTGGCTCGCCTGGCAGTCGGTCTGTACCTGGGCAAAGCCTCCTGACTGGGACAGTGAAATCCGACGTGGCACACCAAAATAGATAAAAGAGCGCGAAAAGGACGTTTCCTCCCCGTCGGTCCCTGCAAAGCTCAGACTCCCCTCTCCTATAGAGGTGAGGAGGGCAGATTCGACCCCAGGCAGGTGAAACCACAAACGTGAGGGAGAGGCGACAAGCACCGGTGGTCGGCAATGTGCGGGTCCCTCTCCTGGCCTGGCCGGGCTCCCTGGCGGCTGTGGGGACAGCGCCGGGCCGGCGCAGCGCGGGCTGAGGGCGGGAAGCGCTGAGGGGAGCGCGCTCGTGCCGGGGGCTGGCGCGGCGCGTGGGGCGCTGCGGGTCCCGCGGCCGCGGGAGGGCAGGGGGCCCCTTTCCCGAGGGGAGGGAAAGGGAAGGGAGGGAAAGGGAGCGGAGCGCCGAGAGGCCGCTGCTGAGCTCTCAGAGAGCCCGCAGCCGAACAAAGCCCTCGGCCGCCAAGAAGCCTCTCCCGGAACGCTGCTCGGCGCGGCGGGAGCGCACCGGCCCTGCCCTCCCGCGAGGGAGCGGCGGCGGACCCGGGGCCCGGCTGGCTGCGTCCCCTGCTGCTGCCGCCACCGGCCCTCGGACCCGCGCCTCCGCCAGGAGGAGGGAGAGGAATAGCGCCGCGGCGACCTAAAGGGGAGAGGGAACTCACGGGAGGCGAGCCCTGGGCAGGGGTAGGCTCCAGGCGCCGCCGGGAGGGCGCGGCAGGCCCCGAGGGGCGCAGTGAGGGAGCTGGGTGCGGGTGGCGGCTCCGCCTCCGGCCGTGGGGCCGACGGAGTCCAGGGCAGGTGAGGAGGGGCCGAGACTGTCCGGGAGCAGGAGGGAAACAACGCACACCGATGCAGCAGAAAGCACTTATTAGAGTTAGGCAGGAGGTCTGTGAATGCACGGGGAGGGCAGGAAGCACTTTCTGAAGTTTATAATTTCGTCAAAGTTCCAGTCCCGTGTCGTTACCGAACCTCTCATCCCTGACAAGGGCATTTCAGCTCGGTTCCGGAGTTCAGTGTAACAAGGTCCTTTGGAAATGCAGAAGAAAAATGTCCCTTGGGATAACTGTTTTAGCGGGCTTTTATATTTAGTTTATGTTTTCATTTGCTGCTCCGTGTCACAGTAAGACAGCTTGACTTCCGATCATTAGGAAGAGTGTGTTCAATAAGATAAGGGCTAAAAGGTACTGACCTCTGCCTCCCCTGGAAAAATGAATATAAATCATCTCGTTACATTTATGCCAAAAACAATAAAGTTGAAAGGAATGCATGGTCAAGAGAAGTGTCTCTCCTCCCTACAAAGTATCTCTTAACACGGATATATCGCCAAAAATTGTTTGAAGGAGTTGCCTAAAATAACTAACAATCATACTAGTGGTCGATTACTCAAATTTTGCAATGTTTCCATAAATATTTTTAAGAGATGCATTCAGAAACGCTTATATCTGAGAACTGGTATCCAAGGGTCTGTTAACTATTTCCTGTGTTAGAGAATCGGCTTTCTCCTTGTCCTGCTGCCCTGAACACCCTAATAACATTAGCAAAAGAGCAGGTATAAAGTACCTAGAGCATGGCTTGCATCTTGAAGGTTAAGATCTAGATCAGTTAAAACATATTAATTACTTCTGAATGGTCTCAAAGAGCATTTGCCGTGTATATTTATGTCAATAAAGCCTTGATGAGGGCATGGATGAAAATTCACATCACACTCCAATTCACCGGGGTACCCAAGTGCGTGTATCTGAAGTTACTGCGTTCTGAAAAAACAGTCCCGATCTCCAAGCGCCCGCACTCCCTCAGGCACCCCCGGGGCTGGGTGAGTGAACCGCATCTCAGGGACTGGCGATGCATCCGTGGCGGGGCGCTCCCTTCGGCCGTGAAGGGTCCACGCGAGGTCGGATCCCGCTTCTCGCCGGTACAAAGATGACGGAGGCTTGGCGTGTGGAAATCTTCCTGTAACTAATACCAGGCCTAATATTTTTGTTTTGTTTTGTTTTGTTTTATTTAGAAATCGGGCGAGCCACCTGCATCGTTAATTCACCAACAAAAGCGGTGTTTAACTGGTAGCTTTGGTTCGAAGAGATTTTTCTCTCTGCATAAGAAATGGCCACCTTATTCTTTAGGGGAGATTAATAAACGCGTCCAAATTAATAAACTAATAAATGTATCAGAGTAGGTCCGAATGTGCTGAAGAAGAAACTGGATCTGATCTGTCCTATAGGGAAATGGTCCTGTAGGCTTTTTCTTTTTTTTTTTCCCTGCTTTGATTTGTACAGTTTTCCCCCCTCCCCCTCTGCTCACACATACACACACTCACACACACATGCTGCAATATATGCTGCATATTGTGTCTGCCTACCCAAGTTTTCTACTACAGTTGGAAACCTGTCTATGAAACGCTTTGTTTTCGTTCAGCCTTTCTTCAGATGCACCATTTTCTTATACGCCTTTTAAAATCAAATTGCACTGCAGTACCTGTTTATTCAATTTTCCAGTATTATCTGTTTTCCAGGAGATACTCGCCCGAGAATAACTGCATCTGAACTGAGCACAGCTATCCATCGGCTTCAGGCAGCCGGAGTGCCTCTCTCCCGCCTGGAGGGGCCGGAGCCGCCGTGCGCTCCCGGGGTCCGGCCCCTCGGGCCGCAGGTGTCCGCGCCGCGCCGCCGGTGCGCTCGCTGCCCTTAGCTCCGCTCCCACGGCTTGTACGCCGGGCGCGGGAATCCTGCAGGGGTGCCTTCATTTGTTCAACAGCATCATGCACTCTTCTTTCAGGATAGACGGGCTTCACCGGGGTCGGTGACATCGGGCTCTCGGCTGATATGAAAACCACGAATTTAGCTACTGGCTTTGCCTGTACACCTGGAACGGGGCAGTGCCAAGTCTGATCTCCGCTTGCAGAAGTCACTTGTTTTTGATGAAGGAAAACACGGTTAATATCTCTGAAACGGCCAAATTTTCCCATCATTCTGGAACAGCCTCTTGACATCTGCTGGGAAATGTCCCCAGCGTACTGACCACCGCCCCGGTGGTTCTGTGGAGAGGTGACTTTGTCCACGATTGCTGTAACTTCCAGAGCTGAACAGCTGCCCTTCGGCCTCTAGTCCTTTCACATCTTGTACTTTATCTACCGTAGCATTTATACATTCAGTATCTACACTGAGGCTTGTCGAGCCCGAGCCCTCGGGCGCTGGCCACGGGGAGAACCGGTGCGGACGCTGTCACCCACCCGGGCTGCGGGGAAGAAACCGAGTCCCGGTACACGGGGAAAGAGAATCCTCGGTGAGCAAAGGGCTTTGATGGGGCTGTGTGGGGTCGGTAAGGTGGATGCTCATGTTCCCTGGTATAAATTAGCAGAAGCGTATCCTACTGATTTATTTATTTTTCCCAGACTAATGGTGTTATAGAAGACATTCTCTCTGGCTCTTGTTGACAAATAAGTCGTGAGCTACCTGACAGTGTTAGTCCAGTTGTTGCCCATATGTCTAAATACCCTCCTAGAGACGTCAGTGCCGTTTAGGAAGAGAATTACCTCAAATGAAAACCAGAAGGAAGATTTTTTTTTATCCTTTTCTTGTCCCCTAAACCCATGTTACACCTGAGGGCAGTAACATACAGGGAAGATTTTTGTAAATTCAGTATCACTTTCCCCTACAGCAACGATCTCTTTACATGACAGGGTGAGGAGCAGTGCACTCCTTTCCTCTTTTTTTTTTTTTTTTTTTCCCTTTACCTTCAGTAAATGTCTTGCGTTCGTGTTTGTTTAACAATGAGTCGCTTGGTAAACAAGACAATCAAAAGAACATTTGAGACTACGTGGATACATTTCTCTGGTGCTTGTAGACGCCTGGACACCCAGAGGAGTTGTTGAATGCCTCTCTTTTCGTCTTTCCTTTATTTACCAAATTAACTCAGAGAAAGCTTTTAACCGAGGGGAGATTTAAGGTGATAAGCAGAGAACAGACGGTCTGCACTGCAAGCCTGCGTTTCGAACTGCAGCCGGCCGCGGAGCAAAAGGGATGAGGTGCTTCAAAGGCTAAATTGTTTTTTTGTTGGTTTGGTTTTTTTTTCCTTTTGGTTGACATTTTTCTTCTTTAGAACACGGAGATCGTTTCTTCTTCTTCGAAATACTCCGACTGTTGTCTGCCAGTGCAATCTCATTTTTAAACAGTTATTTTAGATGAAGTCTCTCACCGACTGGTTTGGCAATTATGTCAGGCTTTTGAGAGTCCTCTATGGTTTTAGGAAAGACTCTACAACCCTTCTCCCACCACTCCAGGCGCTCTCTCTCTGCTCTATCTACTCTTTTCAGAAGCCAGCAGTTTTAGGAGCAGCATCGGTTTTTTAGGGTTATTTTCCCCAAGGGACACACGAGATTTGAAGTAGTCCCGCTCCCCGGGAAAAAAAAGAGAAACCCCACATGCACTTTGCAAGCAGTTTTAAAGCAGCTCTGTCTTCTAATGTAGGAGGATTTGGGTTTGGGTTTTTTCCCTCTCTTTTTTCTTTTTTCTTTTTTTTCCCCTCTTCCCTGTTCGTGGGACTCTTTATTGTTTTGTTTTGTTTTCCAGCGTGTATCAAGAAAATTAATTAAAATCTTTCTCCATCCTTCTCTCCCTCCGCCGAGGGACCCTATTCACGCTGTCCCGCAGCGCATCAGCCCAGAGGAAAACCGTTCATGGTTCAAGTAGGGGGTGTCAGGGAGGAGGGGCAGCAGGGGACGTGACCGCAGCTTATCTCCCGCAAGCGCGACCACTTGCTCCGTGGGCTTTGGGGTGGGGAAATGTACGTAGGTGTGTAAAACCGCGGCGATCCTCACCACCCGCAGTCCTGCGGGACTTCGGCCGCTCATCCCCGCTGCCCAGCGGAGAGGCGATGGCCAAAACGTACCCACCTCAAGGCAAATAAACCCCCAACAGGTACCCGGGGGGAAGATGCGTGTGTGTGCGTCTGTGTGTGCCCGTGGGTGTCTGTGTGTCCCCACTCCCCCCGGCCGCGCAGCCAGGTCAGAGGGCGGACACAGGGAGAGAGGGGAGGCGGGAGAGGGGTGGGAATGTATCCCCGTGACGCCACCGCCCCCTCCGCCAGTGGGAGGCCGGGCGAGGAGTGGCGGCGGCCAACGGGACGCGAGGCGGGTCCGTGAGTGGCATTGAGGGAGGGCTCGGCCCGGGGGGAGGGAGGGGGGGGCAAGGGGGGAGTTGGAGAGAAATGAAGTTGTGCTAAAAGGCTTTTAGCCATCAAGAAGTTATTAGGCATTTCTCAGCCGCAAATTAGGGATTCTTCATTAATACCAACCTCGCCCCCCCACCCCACCCTACCCCACCCCTCGTTATGTGAGACGGAGAGCCTGGGAGCCGATAAAGGGGATGGGGAGGCGGCAATGTCTGACTGCCCATCGGTGCGAGGAGCAGTGACAGGCGCAAACTTTTCCCTGTGCCATTAATGAGCCAATTAAAGAGTTGGGCTCCTCACCCCGGGAGAGCTCTCTGCAGGCTGCCGGGCTCAGGGATTCAAGGTAGGTGAAAAGAGGATCAGAACCCACCACAATCTGCCAGCCTCAGAGAAGAACCGCAGTGATGTGCGGTACTAGGCTGTGGGTCGCTTCCTCACGGTGGAAAATGAGGAGGAAAAAAAAAAAAAAAAAAAAAGAGATATAATTTGGTTGGAAAAATGTGATTTTTGGGTGGATTCCGGCACGGGGCAGGGCTGGGTAGAGCGTGCCTCCCCTGGCTGGGGTGCAGCTGAGGTAGACACCCCCGACCCCAGCCGAGGAATGAGGACAGTAGCCGAGGAGAAATTCAAAAGAAAGAAAGAAAAAAAGAAAAAGAAAAAAGAAAAGGAGAAAAAAAAAAAGGAAAGAAAAGAGGAAAGGGCAAACAAGCAGACATACTCCGTGACTGGAAATGTATCCCTCACCGAGGGTCTGGCAGCGCGGAGCGCGGGGAGGTCTGGCCGCCGGCGCGGTGCCGGCCCGAGGGAGCG